ATGATTTTGGATACTACTTTAATCATTTCAGTAGATTGTTTTTATTACTATTGTTGTTGTGCCATGGTCGCGTGGTGCGGGTATGAGATACATATTAGACATCAGCACTTGAAATACGGTGGTATCGCGCCGCCTCCTCTGCCTTATTTCTCTTGGCACTCGCATATTTTCACCCCATTCCGTCTGTTTTGATAGTTGAAAGTCTTGTTGAGGTATAAATTTGGAAGTACGAAACTCATGCGGTCAAGCAAACCTTTATTACAAAGTGACTTCCAACTGCAGATGCCCGTAATTGGCACCCGGTGCTGTACTGTCTGAGTTACTACAGACACCTCTGTCAAATTTACAGATTAACAATTCGCCGGTCCCGACCACTTAGATTAGTTTTTTTTGTTCTAAGTGGCTTTTGTGTTGACTTTTTAGGGCAAATTTGTTGTGCCTATGGTAGATTTGGTAATTGGCATAATACCTAATTCCTCTTTTTCAGTGACGTCCATGGAATGACACCGTATCAATTGGCCGGCCAATTGGGCAAAACCAAATTTTCTGCCTGTTTTAGGCGGTTCAGGAAATCGTACCCTGACCGCTATGACTACGTAAAGGCACGGGTAAGTAATTCGCCTGCCACCCTTGATCATTGAGCTGTGATCCTTTCTCTTGATCATTTTGAGACCCACCTAAAATTTCAGAGATCTGCTGTGTTGCGATGGCATCATTCTTTTGACGGCGGACTTAGTTGCATTTTTGGCGGGCGCGTAATACCCAAGGGTTATGGAACAAATGACTCGTTTTTGACATTCTCATTCAATTTATTTTCAGTAGGCGTTTAGGTGACACAAATGTAAATGGAATTACTGTTAAAAGAACCTAGTTTGGCCTCAGATAGGACGGGTATTGACTCCGGCGGACAACTGTGGTCGGAAGATCTTTTTTCGCATGATTGTTCGGCTTCCGCGCGCTATCTGTGGAGACGCACACTCAAGGGAGGCTTCCTTATTGCCTTTAACCCAACCGTTTACTTGACGCGTTCATGCCTTCTTGTCTTTAACTGCCACCTCCCCCCACTCCCGACAGTTTCCAAGGTGTCTTTACCATCATGGGTACTAAAACTGTCCGCTATCAGCGGTACTACGCGTACTCTTTCAATTGTCGGTCATCAAGGAATCGAATATAAGCCGTTCGTTAAACGTGGTTAAGTGCTATCCGGCATGGCTAAGTTCGGAAGGAAACATATTCTGACACCCCCAAAAAGCCGATTTCGTCTGATAACTGCGGTCTTGGATACTTTCCCACCTTACCGCTTACTCTTGGGCACATATTACTCCACCGTCCAGTTAAATACCGAGTTTCAGATGAAATAGTTTTTTTCGTGAGTTTCTAGGCCTCTGTCGGATGGTGATGTTTCTTAATGCATATTGTTCTTGGATGC